AACTTAAACGGCTTTACCGATTCATTTCAAAAACAAAAAATGATGTTGAATGCCGTTCTGAAAATAAAAATCGGTTCATTCGTTCGTGAGACATCGAAGGAGAAAGAATTTGAAAAAAAAAGTTTTTTAACATAACTTCGAGATTTCGCAACATAATTTGGTAAAATTTGGAGCGCTTTGCATTTGAAATTAGCGGGAAGTTCCAGGGATGGCCTGCAGGGTCAACCAATTTTTTTTTAAATCAATACTAATAACATGGTATTTTCATGACAGTCTTAAATCTAGTGATGCCACATTAATAGATTCCATCTAAACGGAGCCGGGGCGGGTAAGCTAGTATAAATAAGAATAACAAACGAGCACACAGTCCACCTAGTAGTAAAAAGATATTGTGACCCAATATATCATCCAACATAAGTCCTCAATTAAAAATCAAAATACACAAGTTGCCCCACTGAGTACTAAGATGGAATGCTTCGTTTCCATTAAAAGCAAATCCACTTCCCCATATCCCGTGGGTATCGTCGCAACGTATGTCGAATAATGCGATTCATTCGACAATCACTCGTTTGTATATTTTCACGAAATAATTGATTAAATCAAAATAAAAAATATAGTCTTGTAGCCGGGAAAGGAAAAGGGGAGATCTCCCGACGGGCAAATTGTTCTGCCCGGGGAGCGGCCATAGCTGCGTGTGATAATTCTATATATACTCTATATAATATACTGTTTTACTTCGGACCTTTGATAGCGCGATTTAAGCTGCGATGTATTTCGCGTGTGGCGCGACGACAGCGCCGAGACAGTCTTAAGCTTTGGTTTACTTTATTATTTCTACATTCACTGAAATGACTCATCTGAAGCTCGATGGACCAATGTTTACTACCACTACTTATTTGAAAAACGCTACACATAAATGTTCTTTATATTTTTAAATAAAACGTCACATTCCTCAATTTTAGTGATAAAAATTGAGAAAAAATATTCCTACTTTTAACATCAACCGTCATTCGACATAGATACGAAATTTACTTAGTTATTCTAACACACACAATTCTCTCTGTTGTATTATTATGTTTGTTCAACTGCTGTTTTAACCGGTGCTCTTATTTTTTACAGCTATAAACGACACGCATCTGCTAATATTCACATCGTCACATATCGATATTTACGAAATCGAATCTGGAGAGTGGGTGCAGACGTTAAATTTACGTAAGTTTAATTTTATTATACATATAATTACGTAAGTTTAATTCAATTCAATTGCCTGAAGCTTTCAGATTTTTAACTTCCCGCTAAGTAAATTGAAAATTTTCAAAAATAGGGAAGTTATAGGTTTCACCCCGAATCGAGTTTTCATCAGATCTCGACGTCTTGAGATCCCGGAAAGCTATTCTGACTAATTTCACGTGGACATCCGTACGGATGTATGCATGTGTGTGTAAGTATGTAAACCTTTCATAACTTTTGAACGTCCTGATCGATTGAGATGCGGTTTGCGGCGGTCTAAAGAACTCAATGTGGAATAGATTTGGTGATAATATGAACTGATTTGGACGAGTAGATTTTGAGAAATCTCAAAAATATTTTTTTTAAACTGTTTTTTTGGAATAACTTTTAAACGGCTTTACTGATCGATTTCAAAAACTAATCGACTCTTAACATCAAAAAATGACGTCGAATGCCGTTTGGAAAATAAAAATCGGTTCATACGTTCGTGAGATATCGAATGCGAAAGAATTTGAAAAAAAAAAAGGTTTTTTTTTTAAACACAACTTCGAGATTTCGCAACATAATTTGGTGAAATTTGGAGCGCTTTGCATTTGAAATTAGCTGGAAGTTCCAGGGATGGCTTGCAGGGTCAACCAATTTTTTTTTACAATCTCTTAGGCTTAGGCAATATTACACAAGTTTTCACATTGTGAATTTAAACTGGATATAGATTTTTTTATACGATAGGGTGACAAACGAGCACACAGTCCCCACCGACATCTACATCTATCCTCGATTACGAATCAAAATGCAGATGCGTTGTCACCCGTGAGGACTAAGATGGAATGCCTCGTTTCCAGTAAAAAGGGTCTCCGGTTCTCTACACTCACCATACGAAACACAGCAGCATTAAGATACTATTTGGTGTACAGAAAACTAATATGTCAATAGTAATTATTATTTATACGGCCACGATTCATATAGTAATTTATGGCTATGAGTTCAGTAACCTATATGGAAACAATTAAAAAATTACAAATAATTTGATAATATGTATTACATAATGACTTCTTATATTTACACGAACATTGGAGACATTAATAATGTCCGCATACCGGTCTTGCTCCGCCGATCACCACACCCGGACCAACACACTATTGGCCTCCTATTTTCATAGACCAATACCACACCATGCTGGGTTCGAAACTACGAGGTGGGGTGGCCCTAGATGTAGACGTTCGATTCCGTACACAACCTTGTTTCTTATAAGAAAGGATGGACCACTAAGATGACAGGCCTCTATTAAAATGGTCCCAGTATTGACGCCTATCGTATGCGCTTATGTGAACTGTATCTTCTTACCCTACTTTTATGGACGACGCACACGCTCAGTTCAAAATAGAACTGTTGATATTTTTTAAAATATCGGATTTTCGATATATCGATAATTATAATATAAATATATCAATATCAGAGTTTTATATATGTTTATTAATTTTATGTAGTAAAGCAATGCTGCAGTTATATTGTGGTTGCAGCGCGAATGGGTCGGCTCGATCTGGGTAGGACCACGCTCTGACAGAATACCAGTGTAAAATAGCAGCTTAATGGTGCTGCGTTTCGTATGGTGAATGTAGAGAAGGGCAGACCCTTTTTACTGGAAACGAGGCATTCCATCTCAGTCTTCAGGGCTGGCAACACATCTGCATTTTGATTTTTAATTGAAGATAAATGTAGATGTCTATGGGCCACAGCTTCCACTTAATATCAGGTGGACAGTGTGCTAGTTTGTCACTCTTATACTAAATAAAAAAAAACTGATCAGTTGGTATGATCAGTTGAACTGACCGCTTGTGTCTTCCATTAGGATTAACACTGAAAGATCTTGAATCAAAGAGCAATTCATCATAAAAGTTTCGCCTTGGAAATGCGATAGTGAAAAATGATAACATTTAAAACTATTTTTATGGATTTTGTCACGTTTACTTTTCCGATTTTAATGCATGCGTGTTTTGTTTCAGCGAATGCGCGTCCGCTGGACGAATCGGGGTACGTGGTATGCGTCGGTGGCGGCGGAAACAACGGATTCCCCTTCTCGTCAGATTCCGCGCCGTTCTTAGTTTACTTACGACCGCTTTTTACACGTAAGTATGCAGTTTATATATTTCAGGAAGAGTCATTAATACTAAGTGATTTTTTCAAATATTTATAAACATATTTTTCCGCTTATCGCTATCTACATACTAGGTACCAATTTTTTGTATTTTCTATAGAAAATAATAACGGTTATTTTTTTTTAAATACTTAGTCGGTAGATTGTTCAGTTAGACAGATCATGTTGTGCCTGGGCGAGCATAATCTATTATGGAAACAACATATGAGCATAATTCCATTATTTTAATGCATGATTGATTATTAATTATGCCCTGATATTTTATAAGTAAATTTTTATTATTATATCTATTAACCAAAGGCATTGGTGTAGTTTAGTAAGGCATCCAAAAATAGAATGCCGTCTATTAAATTATATTTGAGCGGTATTTATAAGAAGGCTGCAAGCTCTCGTAGTATAGTTACCATTAGAAAATAATAATAATAAAAATAAGAGCATACGAAAAGGAAAAAGGTATAGGATAGGAGGAGAACTGAGGCTTTAAAGAACGTTCACATTCTAAGAGACTGAATTTATAAATTATCGATCGTATTTGTACCTTTTAATCAGGTAACAAACACAAACGGTAGATATCAATAGAGTTATAGACAACAGTCGATGGACGGCGAATGCACCATTGTAATTAGTGTGTAAAACAGAACATTACCGACAACGTCGACGCATTCTCTCATCTAATGATCAACCAACCGTTTTCCTTGGGCCTAGTAGTTTGGTAACCAGGGGTGTACCCCTGGTTACCTCTATTATGCAGGAAACCTAACGTCTTATCGCAACCTATGCATTAAATGTACCGAAACGTAAACAACGTTTTATATTTTTATAAAACTGAGCACACGGTCCGCCGGATAATAAATGGATACTATGGCCCATAGACAATAAAATATAGCATCGATGAAGTATCAAAACGCTTAGGACTAAAAGAAAATGCCTCATTGCCAGTAAAACTGGTCTCCAGATCTCTGTACTCACCGTATAAAACAGCAACATTAAACTGCTATTTTACGCTAGTATTCTGTGAGTGCTAGAGATATTCGTGTGATTCGATATGATAGAAGACTCGTGCTTACTGTAAAACTTCCTGTACATGGTAGATCCATGCCGCAGTTATATTAGAAGTATAGTTGCGGCACGAATGAGTCCGCTCAACCCGTGAATGACCTCGCTCTCACAGAATACCAGCATAAAATAACAGCTTAATGGTGCTGTGTTCCGTACGGTGAGTGTAGAGATATGGAGACCCTTTTTTACTGGAAACGAGGTATTCCATCTTAGTCCTCACGGGTGACAACGCATCTGCGTTTTGATTCTTAATCGAGGATAAATGTAGATGTCTATGGGCCACAGCATCCACTTACCATCAGGTGGACTGTGTGCTCGTTTGTCACCCATATTATATTTAAAAAAATGCTCACGGTACTTCATAATTTTGTGTGGTTGTGACATAATATATAAACATATAAGTATTGCGTTCCGCCAAAAATTAGTTTATCTCGACAAACATAATAAACATGTTTTAAAAACAAATAATGATAATTAATAATGTTTTTTCATATAATATGTTATAATGTAAATATTAACAGCTTTAATATAAGATGAAGTATTTGTTATTTTATATCTTTAATAGCTAGTGGCAGATAATGAAATTCTTATATCAACAGAGGGTCCATTAAATGTGGAAATAGCGACGACCTGGGGCACCAACAAGCGAAGGTTTTCAGTCCGGGAGCAGTCACATCAAGCGATCGAGGCACATAACAGATTGTAAGTTGATCATAATTTTTTTTTTATATATATAGAAGAGGGGGTAAACGAGCATGCGGCTCACCTGATGTTAAGTGACTACCGCCGCCCATGAACAACCGCAACACCAGGGGAATTGCAGGTGCGTTGCCGGCCCTTTAGAAAGGAGTAAGTTCTTTTCTTGAAGGTCCCCCAGGTCGTATCGGTCCGGAAAAATCGCTGGTGGTAAACTATTCCACAGAGAGGTTGTACGCGGAAGAAAACTCCTCTTGAAACCTACAGTGGTCGACCGCGAAGTATCCAGATGGTGTGGATGGTATCGGGACGTTTGCCGCGTAGTGCGTTCATGTAATTTGGCGGCTGGGATTAATCCGAACAATTACTCAGAGCACTCTCCATGGTACATGCGAAAGAAAATGCAAAGAGATGCAAAACTGCATGCTGAAGCATCAAGCGTCGACGATTCGAGCTGCTTTGCGCTGGATGCGGTCAAGTGGAAGTCTTGTCTGTCGGGTAAACTCCTAATGAAGCAACACTGCCATTAAATGAAGATAGGACAAAAAATTAATACTCAAAAACTGAAGGTAGCCGGCAAAGTACGACATCGGGATGTCAAACACTTCAGTCCCCCCTCCTCCCAATGATCATGAATACGGTCGGGAATGAAAAAATCAACATTAAACGCGATAAAATCTGTAAAATTAGTTTCTTTTAATATGCTGCTTACATTTAAAACTTAAACTTAAAGTAACAGTCTATAATTACGAGTTAATTGCCAAGTAAATTTTATATTTCACTGCTGTAGAATGCATATACCGTGCCGTGTAGTGGCGGTGTACAGATATCCACGATCCCACGCCATATGATCCCGTGGGTGTCGTAAGAGGCGACAGAGCGAAACAAATCAGGAGATGGGCAGCAGTCTTCCTTATAACGACTAAACATAAACAACTGCGGTTGCCAACCCACTTGCCAAGCGTGGCAACTGTGGTAATTGTGGCAAATGTCCCCATGAGGCAATCTATTGGGGAGGCCTATGTACAGCAGTGATTTTAATCGGCTATAACGTTAACAGTAAAATAAATATACTATAGTTATATAATACGCATTCATTTACTCTTTTTTTATAGAATAAGATTGACAAATGAGCACACAGTCCGCCTGATGATAAGTGGATGCTGCGGCTCATAGACATCTACTTTTATCCTCGATTAAAAATCAAGATGCAGATGCGTTGTCATCCCTCAGGGCTAAGATGAAATTCCTCGGTTCCAGTAAAAAAAAGGGTCTCCGGATCTCTACGCTCACCATACGAAACACAGCAGCATTAAGCTGCTATTTTACGCTGGTATTCTGTGAGAGCGTGGTCCTTCCCCGGTTGAACCGACCCATTCGTGCTGCAACCACAATATAGCTGCTTCCCTATACAACATGTAACAAAAACCCTGTGGTTCCCGTTAAGTGGGTTATCAGAATCAGTATCCAAACGTATACAAATATTTTTTTAAACATTTAAGAAAAACAATATTAATGAAAAAAAAATTTGTAAATTGCGTGTGTTTTTATTTCCTCTAACTTACACGGGTATCGGTAATGCGGGGTCTTTGACAATCCTCTTACTCCTCGGCCAATGCAGAGATAATAAAACTACATACAATTTGAAAAAAATTATTATTCATTAAAATTATTTTTTTAAATGGTTTTTTTTTTTGAAAAAAAAAAGTTCTATACGCTTGGATACCGATTCTGATAACGCAGTTCACGGGAACCACAGGGTTTTTGTTACATGTTGTATATTGCCTAAGGTTCAATTTACACAGCTGCGGAACATAATTAAAGTGAATTTTTGTAACGAAATTGTACATAGTAAAATAAGTGTTATGTTAATTGTGTAATGCGTAAACTATGCGATTTTGCGCACCCCCCCCCCCCCCCCCCGCGCTTGACGACGAAATTGACGCTTCCGTTTCATTCTATTCCGCCGCAATGTAAATTGAGCCTTATAGATAGGATTTTTTCATAATTTCCAGACTTAGGAAGCAGGTTGGCAACCGCAGTGTTATAGTAAGAAACAGAAAATGCATTTATTTGTCAGAAAAAGGCGTACACTTATTAAATTTAGGTATAAACAACAATAATAGTAAATTAACTTCTAATCGACAGTAATAAAACGGGAATTCTAACTTATCCAAGTAAATTAGAATAAATGTAAAAAATATATATTAAGGGCCCCTTTTCCCGAAAGTTTAGGCATTTTACGCTCTGAGACGGCTCGCGCCCGCGTTGCACAGGAGCCGGCGCGATATGAACTTGGGTGACCTATGGAGGCGGGCGAGCACGCCACAGTATAAATAAATCAGTAGTTCGATTTTGTTAGCTATCCTAGGAATGTTGTTGATAAATAAATTAACTACTTATCCTATACTATTAAACGAGCAATATTTGTATATTTATATTTATATTTATATACATATATATATATATATATATATATATATATATATATATATATATATATATATATATATATATATATTAAACGTTACCCCTACACTAGGATTTTCTCCTGTATCGTGGGGGCAGTTTGCAAACATAAATTGCACAAGTACAAACATCCAGACCCGGAACAATTATTTGTAGGCCATACAAATACTTGTTCCGTGCGGGATTCGAACCCGCGACCCCCAGTACAGCCACTCATTGCTAAGCCACTACGCCACGGAGTCGTCAATATATATATACATATATATATATATATATATATATATATATATATATATATTTAGATGAGTTCTCGAAAACGGCTCTAACGATTTCATGAAAGTTTCAATTTAGGCGTTTACGGGGACGAAAAATCGATCTAGCTAGGTCTCATGTATGGGAAAAATCGTTTTCGCCCGTTTTCGCCCTATTTTCACGCATAAAGATTTACCCGCGCAGTATGTTTCGTAATTTCGCCGCTATTGTTACGTAGCCAAGCGGTTATAGTGTCGGCCTATGAAGTCTACGCTGAAGAAAGGTTCGGGTTCGAATCCCCATGCAGACTTTTTGTTTTCGTTTGATCAATTTTTATTTAGTTTATTTTTTTGTTGTTTATTGTACTTATAATTTTTTTTGTATTTTATTTTTGTATAGAAACGAAATTCACAGAATACATCTACCTACTAAGTTTCAAATATGTAGTCCGAATAGTTTCGGAATAAAAGGCTGTGACACACGGACGGACGGACGGACAGACATACATGATGAATCTATAAGGGTTCCGGTTTTTTCCATTCGGCTACGAAATCCTAAAAAAGCTTGAAAAGGCTTCTTTATAATCATTTACAAAAAATATCCCATTTAGATTGCCAAGGGCCTTGGAGATCGAACCTGGTGATCCGAGGAATTTGGGCCGTGGTATGGGCATAAGAAATCTGACAATTGAAGAATACAAATATTAATAATAGGTAAAACTGGAATGGAATAAATAAATTTACAAAATTTCAAAAAGCAAAAAAAAATTAATTACTAGAGTTAGTAGGTATGCAAAAATATAGGTGAATATTACTATAGGATTTAAAATTCTTGTCATACTGACTTCGCTAGTCTGTGTAGCTTAGCTAGATTACAGTAAATTATATTGTGACGAATCCACCCACTAAATAGTGGAACATTAGAATACGAAAATAAAAATTGTCATACTGATTTAGCTAATCTATGTCCCTGTTAAAGTAGATATCTAATTATTCCAATATGTATTTTTTTATTGTAAATGACCTGTTGATGTTACGCTAGGGCTAGGTTATAGGAACTTACGAGTATAACCTAGCCCTAGCGTAAGTACTTACGCAATACACTTTCGGATCTTCTACACTTTCACGACAACGTAGTCGCGAGCAAAAATAGCACAAGTCCTCCCTCGATGACGTCCGGCTGGACACTGGCGGCACTGGCGTGGTGCGCGCGAGTCGCTTTTTACGTATTTTATTTTATATGGAAAAAAATAAGTGCCAAATTATAAATCTATCTAATAATATCCCTGTCAAACCTGATTAGTAAATGAAATATAAAATTTTCATAAATATAGCGTTCCCCTAATTCTCATAAAACTGAAAATGCTTTCAAAATCGATGTTACTTCTGATTTTTTTTTATCGAGTTAAATGTTTAATATTGTGTTTTTTATCCAAAAAAGTCAATAGATCAAACGTTTATCTGTACTATATATTTTTTTAGGATTTTAAATATGATGATTTCTTTGAAAACAACACGATTTAGAAACATAAATTTGGGAAAAGGGGCCCTTAATTAAATTTATAGTCTGTAAATCTCGACGTTTCTAGTGCTTTAGAAAAAAAAAAGAAAATTTACTTGCAATGGGTCAGTTACCAGTGTAATTAAAAATGTTTATTGTATTAATTAATAATTTTCCTGTTTAAATGATTTTGAAACCCTTGCAGCAATAACGTCATTAACGATCAAATGAATATCTTTATCAACAGATCGGAGCGTCGTTCAAGGCTGATCTCCGCGCCCACAAACTTTGCCCACGTTTCACACATGGGCCCCGGCGACGGCATCCGATCACAACGACTTCTAGACCTGCCCACCACCGTGGAGACTGCGGACGAACAGCACCAGCAGGTGAGTTCCATTGCTCACTGCCCACTGCCCAACGCTGGGAAAACTTTTTTGACAAATAAGCACACACATCATCATCATCAAAAACATTATCATTATCACCATCACATCCCTTCACAAGTCCACTGCTGAATAGGGTATTTTTGAAACGCTCCCGAAAACGAAGACAGACGATAGTATTAGGGAATCCTTTGATGGTGATGAAAATAAAATCGATCCCTACATTTGTCTAAATACCTAACTTATTTACTTAACTTACTATTTTGCCACTGTCACTTTAATTCGAATTCACAGGTTAAGTAAACCAAATACCTGGTTTGATTCCCCGCTTAAGCAAAATTACCTAAATTATATAGTAGGTAAATTATATAGTAGGTATGTTTATTATTCTGATGTATTCAGTTATGTACCTATTCAGATCAGTTTAGTACTAAGTTATTTAAAAAAAATTAGGTATGAAACGGCTTACCGATACAAATCCACAAATCCATACGTTAACCAACCATCGGGTTTGGTGCTCGGTTTACGTTTTTACACCTTATGAACTCTCCAGTATGACACACTTGTTCCATCCCGACGCTTTAAGAATATAGCGACACGTTATAAAATTGTAAATTGTAAATTCGTAATGCACGCGAAGCATTCCCGTGAACTTCTCCAAAGCACACTAACATGTTGCCGTATTCACGAGCACCATAAACGTACGCATTAGGCATTATTAAAACAAAACAAGAAACAAAAAACGTAACCACAAGTAATGACAAGTAATAACAGCCAAAACAAAGGAATTAATAAACTATAGTTCATAAAAGATAGCTTGATCTCTGCGACCTATGATGCCTATAAGTTCTGAATTTCTTAGTAGTACACACAGTACCTGTCAAGGTCATACTTTATGGGCATGCCGACCTAATTAGTGCATTCTTTTATGAACCATAAACGTTTGAACGGTCGTATCGCTCACGCGCACGTCAAGACAGAACTGTCTCAAAAACTAATATCGGTTTGGCAACACCGCACATGTAGGAGCGAGGCGACAGCGTGTGTGTGAAAGGGAATGGTAGAGTTAGCGTGAATACAGTAATTTAACTATTACATTGTTTCGCACCGAGCTAAATAAAAATAGTTCAGCGTCCGCGCGTTTTTTGAACCCATAATCAGCTGATTTCAGGTTTAATTTTCACTGATGGTTTATGTTTGGCTATTTTCATAATTTTTTTTTATGAAATTATCGTTTAACTTAGCTGTTATAAAGCTAATTAAACGTTGTAAAAATGTAGTTTTTTTTTCACCGGGATCGATTTTATTTTCGTCACATCATCAAAGGTTTCCCTAATACTATCGTCTGTCTTCGTTTTCGGGAGCGTTTCAAAAATACCCTGTATAGACATCCCCCACGGTACGCCACGAAACACGGTCCAGAGCACCTGCATCCATCAACTTCATGCATGTCTTATCAGCTAGTTACTCCATCGGCCGTTTACGTGGTAGACCCACGTTGTAGCTATATTATAGTTGTAGAACGAATGGATCGGCTCGGCTGGGGAAGGACCACGCTCTCACAGAATACCAGCGTAAAATAGTAGCGTTATCCATCTACAGTTCTCTTAGTGTTCTGGTCTAGCGCTGTGAATATTTCCGACGACCAGAAAATGATCTGTGGCCAGTGATAATTGTCTTCAATCTTAGATTTTAACTTAGTGCTTAGCTAGGTCATAGGGTTATTCAGCACCGACTCGGAAGTCGCCTGCGCCGTACTTTGTACTTCTAAAACGATTGCGTAAATAAAGAGTTATACCCTCAATTTCTTTTTTTTTTTGTTTTCTACGTTCTTTCATATCAATATTATTTGAAGTAAAAAAATATTTTTTTTTCAGCAAATGTACGGCAGCCGGGAGAGTAGTAAACGAACGTCACCCTTGACCATATCGCATGGTACCGGTTCATATAATGGTAATTTTATAACTATTTTAAATAATGAATAATATTTATTAATTAATCTTAAGGAATTTAGTTTTTGTCATTTAACAAATTTTGTTCATACCTAAATAACTTTAAAAAACATTTATGTTTGCTTGTAATTAGATTTATTTTTAAACAAGTTAATGTTTTAAAAGTTATGTTTGTATACTTATTTTTTTAATATACATTTTATCTTCCGATTTTGAAGTACGTTTAAAATTTCAAATCTCCAGCTCGTCAGGCAGTAAGTTTAAAATCAATTAAATTCTATCACGACACGACACACGAAAGTTAATAAAACGTGAAAAAATTGTCGGCTTTGTTTGAGATTTGTTTTAATAACTATAAAAGCTTTTCATTCTGCCCATTTTATTTTTTTCAACTTTTCGTACACTGTACTGGTTCTAGTTTATATCTGAAATGATTTCAGGCTCATGGCGGCGACGTGACACAACCGACGCACCGAACGAACCAATGGGGCGCGGAATGGACAGGTAGCTGCAACAATGTTATATATATATATATATATATATATATATATATATATATATATATATATCGCGACTCACTCAATGTAATCACTTACTCACTCACCAACGACCAGCCCAAACTCTTGAACCAAGAAAGCTAAAATTTTGAATACATGTTTTTTTTTTATAATGTAGGCAAGAAATAAGGAAACCTTACTTTAGTAACTATAATTATTAGGTAAGATAGTACATTATATATAAATTATATATATACCATTCAGATTTGACACATAATGTTTCTATCGTGTTGCAATTCAAAATATTGGACCGAATTTATATAAACTCTTCTTGTCTAATGTCCGTAAAAAATTAAGCAAGAATCCAAGAGCTTATCGTTATCCGTTAATGTCATGGGACCACTGTCGCACAGGGAACCTTTTTAGTTTTCTTAAGACATAATATTACTGGTTAAAATAGAGAAGTTTATAAATCACGCTTAGAGCTTATTCAGAGAAAGTTTTTGAAATCTCTAAATTTCAGGTGTGTGCGTGGTGACGGACGGCACGGCACATTTATGTCCTACAGTGATAATTGTCGTAAATTTAATCTTCTCACGTTAGAGGAACGCCGTGAGATTTTAGACATGGGTTTTTTGTTCTTTATTTTACGTGCTCGCTTGATTGCCATGCTCTGCTTTCACAAATATCCTTTAAAATACTCCGACGTAGGACTAGACATATACCTTTATTCGGTGTTTCCTTACATCATACTAATTATGGCAAGAATTGTGTCCTCACCAGAATAGTTAGAATTTTTAATAGTAAATTTTCTCATATCGACCCATTTATCTATTCAAAAAATTTATTTAAGCGAAAGGTAGTACAGGCTTTGACCATAGAATACTATAATACACAATAGAATGGCTCAACCTTATTTTGTACGAGGGTCGGCGTCGCCGGGAGCACACATATAAGCAATTACGTCATATTATCACTACTACAAACCCGATTCGCTGTGTTGACAGACTGAGTAAATTTAAACATTTTCGACTTTTGATTTATGTTCAAGATCATCATTAAAAAATCGTTTAAATTTTAATACATATTTATTTGTAAATAGGGTGCAATTTGGCATGTTCTAAATAATTTGCATGCGAAATTTGGAAACGATTGTAACGTCAAAACACATCTGGTGTTGACATTTATATATGTGAATTGACATGTTAGTGGCATTTTAGTGGCTACACGGGTTCCGCCCACTCCCTTTCTATTATGTATTTGTATTACAGTATTCTATGGGCTTTGACAGTAGACAATTAACCTTTATTTTTTATGTTGTAGCCTTTGTAGTTTTGTAAGTCCGTAGTAGCATCTAAATTTATATCTCTTCAATTTGCTAATTGACACAAAAAGAATTTAATATAATGTATGTATGTCAGTGTGTACATGAGTATATTGTATGTATGTATATTTATTTATATGTTAGTATATGTATATACTTACCTATATGTATAAGTGTTTTATTATAATATGGTTTTATGTATATGTGTATATATGTGTGCTTATATGTGTATACTTATATTATCCCATTGAAGCATAAGTAATTTCCTAGGTCAGCCATGACAAACTATTTAAATTAAGTATTGTTTTTGATCAAAGGTTTTGTTTTTTTTTCTTTTCAACTTCATACTTCTGATTCGTGCTAAATTGTGGAAAGTTGACGACTATTATTGGCCCTATGTAAACACATATTATATATAAAAAAAACTCACAAGATGAAAGCGGTTATTATCCCTAATAAAATAAAATAATATAAATAAAGTATGTTTAAATATTTTTTTTCATTAACAATTTCATTTTTAGTTTTATTAATAATTAAGTAGTAATTACTTAATTATTAATAAAAATTGTATAAATTAGAAAAAAACACGACTTGTGACTGGTTGTGACGTCATTATGTCCCTTGAGACCGTGAGACAATTGCAATCATGCTATACTTTACAAACATATTTACCCTGATTACCCCACTTGGAAAAAATAGTAGTAATCAGTATAGTAGTAATTATTAATTAGTTAATTTTAATTTATTTTGATTTATAATTATTTTCCTTAAATTTTTTTTTTCTTTTTGTTTTTTCTTTCTACTACCAAATATGGACCCTGGTCTGAAATAAAGATTAAAAATATTAAGCAATAACAATTTTTTATAAAATTTTGACAACGTAAACGTGAATATTTTATCATTTCACTGTGCGGTGGCGTTACTAAAGCGATATAATGACGGCACTGGAGTTTGAAATTATATTTTAGAAAAATTATATTTAATTGCAAAAAATTACATGGTATCAATTGTTAAAAAAATGGTTTATAATTTTTATTAAGCTTTTGTTATTAGAAGGTATAATTCTTTGATTGTGTTGAAGAAATCCACTATCCAATGTAGACCACGTAGATTCCCTCATAGAGGCGTTATTTCCCGCTACTATAACGGTCACGCTTGCCAGGCGGGTTGTCAACATCCTGTTTTATTTTACACTGTCGTCTGTTACGACAGCCACGGTCATAGAATACTATAATACACAATAGAATGGCTGTCAGCCTTACTTTGTAGGAGGATCGGCGTCGCCGGGAGCACATATACAAGCATTTACGTCGTATTATCAGTTATCACTACTACAAACACATTTTAGACTTTTGATTAATGTTTTTGACGCTTAAATATTTTTTTTATTTTTGTTTCTAATATTCACAAAATATAAATAGTTTCTACTTACTGGTTGTAGAGTATGTCTCCTTTATTTAAATTCCATTTCTCGCTGTTCTTTCGACAGGTAATTATTGCACAATTTGCCATTTTTTTAATAATTTGCATGCAGCGTCGCTAGACACGAAAATTGGAAACGGTTGATTGTGTTGACATTTGTACGTATGAATTGACGTGTTAGTGGCTACAGAGCCCCCTTACCCGTTCTATTATGTATGTATTATAGTATTCTAAGGCCACAGTAGTACAGGGGTTAGTAAATAATTTTAGGGTCAGCCCACACGTACCATAACCACACCACGTCCTACCCACTACGTCCCTAGTCGTGGCGTCGACGCAATGTTGTGTTTGCGATGTGGCCGGCCGCTAGTTTCGTGTTGTTCCGTAGTAGTTGCGTGGTAGTTGCGTTGTGGTCGGTATCACACACGCAGTCGATAATGACGGCGAAATGTGGTACATGTAAATTGTACTATTCATTTCCAATTCAAAATGCGCCCGCCCACGTGTTGTGGTTGTGGTACGTGTGAGTAGACCCTTATGCCGCCACTAGACAATTAGAATAACCACTAAATGGTTTCATTTTTCATACGGAACATTAGTTAATTATAATTTTCACATCTTTAATATATTGACTTTCCGCAAAGTAATGTTTGATTTAATTAATATCAAAGGAGTTCTTGCATCAGCCTTTACTTTTTATGATTGTTTCTGAAAATTTTATGAATATAATTATAGACACCATGATTTCCACGATTTTAAATGTGTAAATAGCGGGAAATCCGGTGTCCCGTATCGGAAATGATTGTACAGAAGTTGGTCTGATGTTAATCAGCAGTATCGGCCGCCAAACTCCAGCAGACTACAGTTTTGGTGTTGGTCGCAGGTCAATAGGCGGCGGTTCTCAAGGCAGCGGGTCGCTGTTGCTGGAGCGCTCCATCACGCCGCTCAGCCTGGGCAGCATGAGCTCGCTGCACGACGTACTGAAGGTATTTTTTCCATTAGGAAATCCCACCAAAAGTTTTTATCACACACGTAAACATCACACCATCCAAATTTTTATCTCTTGTACTTTTAATAATAATAATGTCCTCCAGACCGAATTTCGGTCACGGCGGCCTGCCTAAACGGAGAATAGCCATCAGCGCAGGACAGGATTATAGTGTAAAGCAAGCACAGGTGCACTCTCTATTCCCTCACTCTAATAATCCGATAGGACGGTAAACTGACGCGACCGAAGAGAGATCAGGCGCAGGACCAATGACATTACGTGCTTTCCAAGGTGCGCAGGTGAGACACCAGCAACTTCCTGACTCCGGGCAGTTATTGAGATTTTCTCGACGGAAATACTCAATATTTGATTTTTTGACCCGACCCGGGTTTCGACACCAAGACCTCATGATCAGCAGTCACACTAATACAGCCACTATACCAAAGAGGCTTGTACTTTTAAGATTATTGTGTAATATTGACAATTTCAGTAGTAGCGAGTGATAATATTAAATAATACTAGTAAGTCATCCAGTGGTTAAAATTCGACCATAATTCATGATTTTTTTCGTTCGTTAATTAAGTAAGCTGTATTTCTCTTTTAACAGTATATTTTGCGATAACCGGTCAAATTTACATAGACAGTTCAGAATAAATAATATAGGCAAATAGTGAAGAAAATTTAATTAAGGAATATCTCATTCTGTCCTTTTTATTTTTTGAATTCAAAATGCGTGGTAATGCATCATTTTAACATATTTTACTGCGCAACACACATTCGTAAGAGTCGATCAGTGGGCAAAAACGTTGCTCTTATTTACTTACATTTTCAAAAACTGCATTTTATATTTGAACTTAAGTTTAAAATTTGGCTACTCTGAAAAATAACCCTGTATATATGTACTATCCATGCTGAAATCACATTAACACATAAGACATAAATATTTAATATGCAAAACAAAATATAAAAATAAACGCCTTTTGTTACGATAAGATGAGTAAAGTATTCTTACTGATTTCATTATTGTGCATCAGGTTGGCACCGATATGGGCGAAGGCTTACATTCGGAAGATAGCAGTTGCGGGGCCTCGCCGCCCCATCCGCTGGACCCCTGATGGTAAGTGAAGTAAAAACTAACCAATGTATCATTTCTAAACTTTTAAATAGATCATAGATATTGTATTATGTCCTAAGACTAAATCGTCCAAATCGACCAAAAATTCAAGGCGCCGACGGCCAGTCTCAACAAATTGAAATAATACTAGATTTTACGGAATTTATCGCGTATATTTAACTTTTTAATTACCCGACGTTTCGAACGCTTTACAGCACTCATGGTCACGGGCAGGACTGAGATGTTCAACGTCCATATGTCATAGTTAACCGCGGTTACCATAGATTAAAATTTAACTTTTGTTCCGATCTACGCAGTATGAACTTATGGTATCTTGAAGTCTTGCAGTTATATGCTTGGGTTGGGATTTAATTTTATTTATTATAGGATCCCAAGCAGATGGTAGCACCCAGCCATCTTCTCTATTGAAATTAGGATGTTTTTTGATTTCAATAGCCTCGCGAATCATCCTTGGAAGGAATCGGTGTTCTTTAGCGAGGATCTGCGGTCTATCAAATCTGATGTAGTGACGGGGGGCGATCCTGTACGTGTTCACAGACTGCAGACTTCCCGGAGCGTCGATTCTTCTAGGCTACGGAATATATCTTCTAAGCTAAGGAATTGTTTGCCTCTAACTCCACTGTGAACTGAATTTTAGAATTTATAGAGTTAAGATGGTCTAAAAATGCAGTTACTTTATCTAAAGGTAGAATTGTGAAAGTGTCGCCTACGTACCGCTTGTAGAACCTTGGATTTATGGGAGAACTAAGCAGGGCTTTCTCCTCAAAGTCTTCCATGAATATGTCGGCGACAATGGGAGATACAGGTGAGCCCATCGCCACACCATCTACTTGCTTGTAGAACTCCTCCTTCCACAATAGGTAGCCAGATGTAAGGCAGTGTCTGAGTAATACTGCATATTCTACGGGCATGTTGTTTTCTTCCAGCCTTCTAGTTACAATTGAGATGCAGTCTTCAACAGGTAAGCATGTAAACAATGACTGCACATCAAAACTGACCATAGTTTCATTGTCTGCCAGATGTAGGTCTTTAATCTCGCTGACAAAATGGTAGGAATCCTTTATGTGTGCTCTTGTATGTCCCCTGAGCGGTGAGAGTATTTTCGCTAAGTGTTGAGCCAATCTGTAAGTTGGTGAATCGATTTGGCTCACTATGGGACGTAATGGAGCATTGGGCTTGTGTATTTTTGGTAACCCATACAATTTTGGTGATTTGGCGCACGTAGGTATTATCCATTTTACGTCCAGATTTAATCCGTCACTACATCAGATTTGATAGACCGCAGATCCTCGCTAAAGAACACCGATTCCTTCCAAGGATGATTCGCGAGGCTATTGAAATCAAAAAACATCCTAATTTCAATAGAGAAGATGGCTGGGTGCTACCATCTGCTTGGGATCCTATAATAAATAAAATTAAATCCCAACCCAAGCATACAACTGCAAGACTTCAAGATACCATAAGTTCATACTGCATAGATCGGAACAAAAGTTAAATTTTAATCTATGGTAACCGCGGTTAACTATGACATATGGACGTTGAACATTTCAGTCCTGCCCGTGACCATGAGTGCTGTAAAGCGTTCGAAACGTCGGGTAATTAAAAAGTTAAATATACGCGATAAATTCCGTAAAAACTAGTATTATTTCAATGTGTAGTGTTCGCGTAAATATAAGAAATCATCAGTCTCAACAAAGTATAGCCATCATCCAACAGGATTATAGTGCACATGTGTATGCGGAAGCACATGGGCATTCTCTATTGCTTCCCACTCGTAGTCTCATGGGACGGCAAATCGACACACCTGAAGAAGGATCAGGTGTATGACCAATGGTTTTGCGTGCTTTCTCAAGCATGGAAGAAAACACCGCAAATTTCCTGTCTCCGGGCTGTTACTGAGAAATTTTTGGCTGAAAAACTCAAAAAATGATTTCGGTCCGACCAGAGATTCGAATCTGGTACCTTATGATCAGCAGTCGCGCTTACATTAATTCTGTTTCTCGAATTCTACTGGGGATTTCCTGATTACAGATTACATAACTCAAACTCCGCGGAAGTCCTTTCCATAGCTTTCTGAAAGAGATTCCTCGTACAATAAGCAGTTTAGGACCACATCTCGATTTTTTATTTTATTTAGGATACGATGAAAAACGTGCACACAGCCCACCTGATGGTAAGCGGTTGCTGTGGCCCATAGACATCTACATCTATCCTCGATTACGAATCAAAATGCAGATGCATTGCCATTCGTGAGTCTCCGGTTCTCTACACTCACCATAGAAAACAGCAGCAATTTGCTGCTTTTTTTCTTATTTTGAAGCGTCCTTACCCGGTCGAGCCGACCCATTCGTGCTACAACTATACTACTAATATAACTGCAGCATGGCTCTACCATGTAAAAAATCTTCTATGAGATACAATAATTTTGATATAAACATGTTTTGCAGAATCCAATTGGACACCTACTGGAAGATAGACATGTCCCGTTTCTATGCTTGCTTCTGTTAAGGCCTCCAGCGATTCGTCATCGTTTACATCGTAAAGGCGTCACAAACGGACTAGACTATTTACCAGATGTGTTTCCTAACAAACATATTATATACCTACCTTGCAACTTAACCCTATATATCCCGGACAATAGAAAATAACGTAGTGTTACTAGAATCAATAGAAATATATGCCAGTTATTCGAAAGCTACATCTGAGGTTTTGATTTAGTTTAATGCTTAATTTTGAGGCTAAATCACTATCGATATTATGTACACATCATTGTTATAGCAGTTTTGTTTGATTGCTTTAAAAGAAATTTGCGGATTTGGTGGGAACACAGGCGTTAGTACTTTACCAGTATCAATTGAATATAGAATTAAAGCCATTGCAAAACTATCACAGGAAAATATAAATGTAGAGCCACACCCAACAATAAAGCATTTTATTAGGTTGACATAATAGTAAGTTCAATAGAACAGATAGATCAATTTTTTGCTTTAGAAATTTATAACCTCAATTACCTTCTTGGCAGTTGAAAGATTTGACTAATGGATACGGAAGTAAAACTTCATATCATCTAACACGCTAGTCGGAGAAGTAAAATTATTGAGAATGTTACTTCTTGCATAGACGAAATCATTTTTTTAAGTTGGGCCTAGGGTGGAAACTATACTTTTTAAGCACAAGTGATTTTTCCTGTAGTGTAGTCCTTAGAGTACCTAGTAAAAAAGTAAATTACCCGCAAATTGCGATAAGTCCTTGACAAATCTATATAATCTAGCGTAAATACCCAGGCGTGGACTGTTTAAACATAATAAATTCTAGTATGTCCATACTAGAATTTATTATGTTTAACGTACACAATTTTTGGACTATTAAAAAAATCATTCACATCAGTGATCCAATTTTGCAATGGTTCTTTAGTGCAGATGACATTTTGAGTTTATAAAAGTTCCATTGGATTTTTATTTATAAAAAGGATATTTTCTGTAAACCCCAAATTAAAAAAATACGTAAGCAGTACAAACGCGTTTTCGATATTATAGATCTGGTAATGAATTAAATGTTTGAAATAGCCTCTTTATAAATAAATAAAACATCCAAAATCTTTTGCATAATAGCATATTGGGTACCTAAGAGATGTGTTATTAAAATTTTATTTGCAATATATTTATTGAAGGTATGCGACCGATGATTCATGTACGGTATACAAAAAACCTTCCAATATGAGGATAATAATTATTATTATAAATAATATGTTGAAATTTTGTATAAAGGTGTTGAATCCGATGTGACTTGTAGGTCAATTAGTATCAAAATATGTCGCGTTGCGATCAATTCTTTTAAAAAAATTCCACTTTCAATTGACGCATGCAACTGTCAAGTTTGTTAATCTGTGCTTTGTTTGTTTTAAAATAACAGCATGCGTCGTTCGGCGTGCATGCGTCAATCGCGAGGGGGCAGTGAGCGATGAGTGAATTATATTCGTGTATTTTATATTGTATTTAAGTAATTATAAGTTTAATAACCAAATGTATAAATTCGCTTAACGGCTAAACTTAAATGTACTTTTGAAATACTCTATGGACGCCATATTGCTTATCTGTCGCACCGCTGTGATGGGTTACTTAACGCATGGCGTCCGTTTTTCTTAAGTATCATGCACTTTAAAATAACTCGTGCTTATCTTATATGAAATAAGTATCCCTCTGTATACTATTTATACTATCTTAAATTTTAGAAATAACTAAGTCAATTGTATATCTAGAATCAACAGATTTCCCTTCCGAATAAATAACATGACTTTACTAAATATTGGCGCCTTAATTCTGAGTTAATTTACTTTTTCCGTAAATAAAATATGGTTGTAGTTGAGACACGAACGACCAAATACATAATTAAAATCACTGCCATAGCATATTTTAAAAATTGTTTTAACATAACTAACATATGACTTCGATCTTATCTAATTACGAATATAAATAAGTTGGTACCTATATAAGACCGTGATAGTGACGACCTTTATTTTGTTTATGACATGATTTTTCTATACAAAAAAGTTGTTCTATAATATTTATTATTCGGCCCACCTATAAACAGTAATCATATTTTAAATTCGTTTAATTATAAGAAAACTACCTATTTGGTATAAAATTTTAACTGATGGTATTTTTTAAATACCTTTAGGGTTGCCGTTCGTACTCGAATAGAAAATTTTGACGAATTATCGACTATTAGCATGAGATGTTATAATTATTATTTATTCAAAAATGTGTTCAATCAAATAATGATTCATACTTCATAAATAGTTATAATACATAATTATATATTGCTGCGGGGGTTGCAGGTCCATTTCGGGACCAATGGAATTTTTTTTATTAACACTAATTGTTTGATAACAATTAAAAAATATTACGGAGTTATTCTTCACTATAATTGTGTATTTGACACCACTATTATTAAATAAAGACGTAAATTTCATACTATTAGTGTCTTAAAACTTGGCTGACTTTCCATTTTATGTTGATTTAGATTTTTAGTATTTCAAAATATACATATATAAATATTTCACAATAAAACAAAAATCTTTTAAGTTTTGACAACTCTCAGAAAGTATTTTAATTTATTAGTGTCAAATATGCAATTAAACTATGTTTCAAATATTGTGGCAACCCTAATTTTTTGTATTCAAAATGAACCATTCGCAAAATCCATCCATTTAGCTCTTTGTGCAGGGTTCCATCCAGTTCATTAAAACATTGCATGTAACTGTATTATGCATATGCATATGTAAAAGGCTGCAAGTTCCAGCGCCTATTTAGTATTTCTTCATCATTGCAAGTGTTATTTAGAACGATTTTTAATAATAATATACAGCTTTATACCTGCTGTGCAAATAAAATAAAAAATAGTTGATTACAATGAGATTAATTGCTTTCATCTTTAGTACTCTAAATATTTAATAAGAGCTTATTTCAATTGTTTTAATCACAGTAAATCTCTTATATTTTGTGATTATGTATTATTTGAATTTAAGGAATATTAGTAATTTGTAATTATTTTAACGATCTAGTCTTTTTTTTTTTTGTTTGATTTTTTGTATTGTGACCGTAAATGTATTGTCCGAAATAAGAAGTTGTCTTAATGCATATATTTTAAGAAATTATACATTGTTTATGAAAATGAGATTTTAGGTTAAGTATATTATTTTATATTTGGTTAGGCTAGAACTAGTCGGCCATTTTGTGGTCGTATGCTGACATTATAAGATGGCGCTTCCAGTGTACGCTGCCTTGGAGTGTTAGTGTTTAGGCGCAGATTATGTATTATTGGTGAAAGGTTTATACTGTCCAAAGACCACGCTAGATGATTGTGCAAAATGTTCTATGATTGGTTTCGTATTGAATGAATTTTTATGCGAAATTTTTAAATTACGACTATAATAGTGCATATTATATAGATTGCATGTTTTGTTTAGTATGTTTATTTATAAATATAAAATGAATTTGGAGATCTCGACAATAAAATATCGCTTCGAACGACTTATTTATTATCCCTCAATGTTTACTTTTTTGCATTGAAAACTTTTGGACAAAGTTTTTGAGGATTATCCCAATTTTTATTAGTGTCGTTGATATGATACATTCTAAATTGTATGAAAGAGTTGTATCCATTTAGGCGTAGATTTGGCTATAATTAAAATAGTATTATGTACACAAACAAATTATAAATAATTATATCTCTCCTATTATATCTTGTTTAATATATTCGACTATGATATAATCGTCAAACTGTCTCCACGTCACTTCTCAGTATCTCAACCACACTAATCCTTGTGTATCTAATTTGTATTTAAATCTAAATTATTTACTGATGTGCATAGCGAGGATATGAAATTATCTCATTACTTTATTATTTTATGTAAATACGTGAATAAAGAGACATTTGAATGACACTTTGTTTTTTTTTCGATCCTTCTATTACATCTTATCTACTGCTAAACATAGGCCTCCCCCAATGATTGCCTCATAGAAGGGGTATGCCATAGTTGCGATCTAGTCAGCTTTTTTTTTTAATTATTTTGAGTTGTTATCAGGACGATGTCGATGGCCATCTCCATGTTCGGTTTCCTTTCGTCATAAACTTATTTTAAAAGTTTGAGGATAAACTAAATATGTGTGTAAATTATTGAATTTATTGGTTTAGATGTCGCAATTGTTTTCTAAGATTAAACGTTTCTGAAATATTAACCTTTTGACTGCGACACATGTTTCCTTGCCCCTACTGCTCGTGTCGTATTTCTGCGACAGAGAACATGCATGATGTTTACGTTCCGTAAAACCTGCCAACATTGGCCACATTTTGCACTTAAATCAACTTTAAATCCAAAAAAACTGTTAGTAAAGTATTAGTTTTTCATATTTGTTTAACACCAGAAACCTCAACTGTTGATGTTAATTCACGGAAATTGCGAAAATTTAAGAACTATGACAGGAAACTGGCCAAAGAAGATGTATAAAAGGCAATAATCACAAAAAGTTAAATATTTTGGCTTACAGCGAGGTGGCCAAAGATACCCGAAACTTTTTTTTAAATTTCCATACAAAACAGTTTTAGACTCAGGGTTGTCATTTTTTTTAATTATTATATATTGGCTGGGTGTTTTACAAAAAAAAAAAACATGTTTTTAATCAATCGCATTTTATTATATGAGATTTATTTGGTACAATATTAGCATATAAAATAAGGCACTTTTACCAAGCAAGTAGACAACATATACTATCAAATTATATCAAGTATTAAATGGTTATGAGTAAGTACTTAAATTACTATCACGTATTTGTGAGATCAAAATTCTAAAAAAAAAGATTCATTTTTCAATTTAGTAATCTCAAGACTACTTAACCATCACGTTGAGGTGAAAGAGAAAACTCAAACGAAAAAAAGAGAAAACTATAAATAAAAATATATAACAATAGGTACCAAGCTTAAAGTGTTTATTTAGAACCTAGGTACCTACTGAAAACAAAAAATAATAAATGAAAAACATACTTAGGAACTTTAGGAAATGAGCGTGTAAATGACACATTCTAGTAAATACCAAAGAAATACAGCAATATACTTTTTGTGATAACACAAGACATAATATCAAATTCTTAAAAGTACACAAATCTTTATCACACATTAATGTATATTCTTCAGGACTTTCATTGAATTGTAAACGTTCTATAATTTTAACAATGTTACTTTCTGGCACGGCTATATCTCGATCCAAGAGCTTAGGTTTAATAAACTTAATATCATCCGAATCCTTTGTTTTTATGCATTTGTAATAAGATATATTAAAAGTTTTTGAATTGTCATTAACACTTTCAATTAATCCTACATAGTACTTCCATTTATTTGACTGGATAGTATCTTACAACACTTTTTCTCCTAATTCATAATACTCTTTTTTCTTCTCTTTCTTGAATTCTTGTCAATTTGATGTATATCTTCTTTTATTATTTGTTTATCCATATTTATAGATTCTTCCATATTTATAGATACATCAATATTTGTAGACTCTTCCATACTTACTTCCACAGACTACTAAGAGGATACTACGCATCTTACTTCAAAATTTGTAACATCACTAAGTGCTTCAATTATGTCAGAATCACTATGGGTGCAAATCCAATCTTCCTCAGTAGTTGTAGAACTATCTAGAGATTTTCTTGGTCTCTTAACTGGTTTGACGTTTTCCTTTTTGACAGTTTTTCTCAAATGACGTTTTTTCTTCCTTTTTTTACTGCTAGTCTTCTCTCTGCTATTTGCTGAACAACTCACAACATCCCTAATATCCTCATTATCGTCACTACTTAAAACACCATGAACGTTAATATTAAAAGCAATATTAACTATTTTTCTTCCCTTACCATCCGAATTTTCAGTATATGGTTTTTCTATGATAATATTGCGTTCTGAAGGAAAAGTTTGTGATAAAATGTTAAAGCTTGTATCAATTTCTTTAAAGTATTTAGTTTTAGTTTTTGCAATAACCTCTTCCGTTGGTGCTACAACACTTTGTGGGTCTTGGCCTCCTCCACAATCTTCCTCCAGTTGTCACGCTGCCTGGCTACCTTAAACTTTCTCATCTTCCTGAGATCTTCTTCCACACAGTCACTCCAACGCTTTTTAGGCCTGCCTCTCGGTCTCTTTTGTTGCAGCGTCCACTTTGTCATTGGGCTCTTGTGTCCGGCATTCTTTCAAGGTGACCCGCCCACCTCAGTCGCTGCGACTTACAGAACCTGACGATGTTCTCGTGCCCGATAAGTGTGTCTAGTTCATGGTTCATGCGTTGACGATAGATACCGTCACGTTCTTTGATGGGGCCATAGATTTTTCTCAGCACTTTCCTTTCGAACACGGCAAGCTTCAGTTCATCTCTCTGGGTTAAAGTCCAGGTTTCACAGGCATAAGTCACAACAGGCCTGATGATGGTGTAGTAGATGGTGAGTTTCGATTTCACACTAAGCAGCTTAGAACCCAGGAGTTTGGCACACGCGTAATAACATTTGTGCCCAGCAACTATCCTTGCCTTAATCTCTTCGTCAGATCTATTTTGGGAGGTAATCGTTGCTCCTAGATACTTGAACCTGCTCACGCCTTTTATGGTTTGATTGCCAGTTTTTGCAATAGGCTCAGTCTTATATTCTGGTAAAATGATGTCGGATAGAATATTTATCTTTTTGGGCTTGTCTTGGTCTTTTATCGAAATCACGGGTAAATCAGTTTCAAATACTAAATCAGTGTTTTTTGTGGCTTCCATGAGACATGAGATAATTCTCGAGTGAGACACTTGCGAGTGAGGCAGCAGGATCTACCTTCGTGAGTGTCGTAGTATTCTTGGATGACTTGACTTTGCCTCTTACATTAGATTTTGAGAGTTTGGAAGTCAGCAGTAAATCATCGACTGATACTGATTTTCTAGGTACAGTCATAACTTTCTTGTTTCTTTTTGTTATCATAGGATTTGGCTGCCTGATCTGCTTTAAGTAGTCTAGCAATGCATTGTCAATCCCATATGATGCCACATCTTCTTGATACTCTGGTACACGCTTCAGTACTTCTCTTGGTTTGAATGGGTAGATCCCCATTGCTCTGAATCCGCTTTTGATTTTTTAGATGAATATATTTCAACTTGATCAACTAAAGAATGTAAAAGTTTTGGGAAATGATTCTTATTCAGAGTAGTTTGGTTGGGATTTTCCATTTTGTACTTGAGTAATATTGCTCGCTACACTTTTTTAAGTGGTGCAAAAAAAGCGACGTCAAGGGGTTCTGTTATGTGTGTCGAGCTAGATGGAATGAAAACCAACTGAATATTGTGACACTCACATAATTCGATAACACTCACAATTTAAGTGGCTTCATAAATTATCGCATATAATGACCTTTTTACCAGGTAAAGACTTTGCCCAATTCATAATAGTTGTGTAGTAGTAATCTTCAAAAACAAAAGAATCAAACCACCCAGATTTTGTGCGGTTATACCTAGTACCACGCAGTTCGCCCTGTATCCATTCGGAATATAAATTCTCTGCCATATAGACAATGTAAATAGGTAGCAAGCTCCCATTCGCTGTAACTGAGAACATCAGCGAAATGGCTCCTTTAGTTGAATTGAGCACTCGCTCGGGATATTTTACTCCTCGCCTAAATATACATATTGAAGATCCTGGATCATCTGTTAAATTTGTTTCGTCAAAATTGAGTATATTTGATGGAGCAACATCTTTCAAAGTCTCTTCTAAATTTCTAAAATATTCCATGAACTCAACCCCTTTCTCAGCTCTATTTTTTTTAATATTCTGCGTGCTACGAACTGACAAATCTGATGAATGTCTTGACAAACAATTATCAAGCCATGTTTTTCCAGGAGGTGCTCCGTTAAATACATCCTCGCGGCCATTCTTTTTCAAGTATTCAAACACGACGAGGCGAAGATCCAATTTACTAAGTGGGCATCCGAATTCCCCAGCAGCAATTAAAACTTTAATAAATTTGGCTTCTTCGTCATCAGATAATCGCGTTGGACATCCGACAGACTTTTATGAGACTTGTTTACTTTATTTAATATTGTCTGTTTAGGAAATGCGAATTGTCACGCCGCTTCTCTTGCTGATATCTGTTTTTTTCTAACAAGATCTACAGCTATTTCAAGCATTTCATTTCAATAATTTTTATATTGCCGGGCACCAAGGCACCTGCGACTTTTTTCTTGCTTTTTTCTTGATTTTGGCTTAGATGTATCCATTCTGTAAATATATATGGACCTAAATAATAAGCAAATATACATATTTTAAACTGTATTCTAGGTATTATACCAAAACTAATTGTAAAACTAAGTTATAAGCAAAAAGTACCATCAACTCATGCGTAGGTAGGTACCGAATTCTAAAATTATCAGTGGGCAGCCCTAGTATTATTTTTCTGTGGCCAAAGTTAACGGCACATGTTTGCTACAAGTGATTGTAACATTGGCCATTTGAATTACTGATTAATAGAGGACTCATATTGATTTGAGATGTACACCATATTAAAACCAAGATTTCACTTAATAACATACCAAAAAATTCCACTCACCTGGATCATTTTTCAAGCGCGAAAAAGCTTTATACTCGAGGAACTCAATACTCAATAACTTTATTGCATTCCATAGGTTACAAAAGGTGACTCTCTATATATATCAAATCTATGGGTGTTACATAGTTATGGTATCTCTATAGACCCTCATGGGCAGGCCTGGTCAACTCTGTATGGACAGAATGAAATACCTACGGGGGCTGAATTTTATTATTGCCATTTGTCAGATAAATGTCTTGTTTCATAATTAGTAAGATTTTGCTAAAGATAAATTACACTCAAAAATTTTGAATACAGAAATAATAATCAATAGGAAGATAACTATGCCTGTCGTATTTTTTTACATTATTATATTAGCATATCCTTGACAGTAAAAGAAAAATAAATGTTTTCTTTTTGTTTTGATTTTCAATGAGTAGAAAATTATATTTTTTACTGGTAACACCAAATACCTAAATGAGTATAATATTAAATTTCTCTTTTCTCATAAATCATAATATGGCGCCGCCGTATAAATTATTGTTGTTCATGATTGGTTGTTATGTATGTTTTGCTTGTGTCTTTTACTAAGATTTTGCAAGTTTACGATGTTGAGTTGAGATTAATGTCCTTCGTTTATATGATGTGCAATGTGTTAGTCAATGAATCGTAGTGAAATACGAAATAGTGACTTAAAATCTACGCTGCAATGGCGGATAAAGAAAATAGAAAAAGTGTTCTAAGTGCAACAGCATACCAACCATTGACAACGTTAAATTATTTAGGTTTCCGAAATTCGCAGTAAAGTATATTTTGCGGTACGTATACGATATACATATACACTATTTAATAAGTTCTAACCTTAAAGTAAATCTCTTGTCCAAGTTATTGTTTCTCTTTTACCATTTGAAAACAAATTATTGGTTTGTAAACCATTAATTTGTTTTAACCTACTTTGATAATATTTGTATTTAATAATTATATCTTTTGTTTTCAGTTGTAAATTATGGGCGAAATATTATATTCCTTCCCAAGAGCAGTATACTACTTTAGCTTTCCAGACAAAGCTACATAATAAGCCCAGAATGCTGTGTTAAAAACATTTTCATGATGGTTAATTTGCATAAATGATGCAACCAAGAAAAAGCTCTTAAGCACTGCAGTCCCATGTGATGTAAGTAAAGTGTATAATGTATATGGTAATATAATATGTATATAGTTTTCTTTAAGGATTACTCAGATATTTTATATGGGAATTACTATATTCAGGAGTGGACTTTGATAGACTGTAAAGAAGATGATGATGATTATTCATATGACCATCATCTGGATCTAACATGGATGGACAGACCACATACAGTAGTTTGAATCCTGTTAATTCTTTCAACTAATTTATAATAATTGGATCGGACAAAGCATCCAAAGGAGGATTGAAGTCTATAAAGTTAGCACAAGCCTTTCCTTACATTATTAAAAGTGCAACACACTGCATATTATTTTTAACAATCAAATTTTATTTTAAAACAACAACAAACCTTAAGAAAGTTCCAGCATCACAATATATGAATAATTTACATTTGGTCCTAAACCTATCAAATTTAAAGGCACAACTTGTACAACACAGTAGAAATACATGCATCAAATGGTTCTCAAACAATAGATAAACACAAGATTTTTTTTCACATAGTTATTGTATTTACTATCTTATTTTGTTATATTAATTGTAATAGTGGGTGTATTATAGAGCAAGTTGGATGAACAAGATCCATTCATTTATTTTGTATTGGTAGAAGGGTAATGTAGTGCCATGAGTAGGGACTGGTTTACTATGAAAGTAATGTCAATGAATATATAATGTTAATTTAATTGTATATAATAATTTTATGATACTATAATTTATTTCAGTTTTTATTTATTTCCAGACTAACAAAGTGTATTCCCATTTTATTTTGTGGAATCACAAGCTGGTCCCTCGCAAATTATTGCTGCAAAACCACAAGCAGGATCTTCAAAAAGGACAACATTATATCCACTGAAGAACAACCACAAACATCAAAGCATAACACATAATGTTGAACCTGAAAAAGAAAGTACGTATCTCTATATGAAAATTTTTAAAATGAAATAAGGAATATTTTTGTAATCTAATATTTAATATGTTTTATAATTTTGAATTAAAATTATTCTATTTATAAGCTGCATTCAATACTTAATATATTGCATATAATATAGAGACAAAATTTTTAGTGTCAATTCAGGGAAATAGATAGACAACCAAATATTATCAAAACAAAATTATTATTTGTGAATGTTGCACTTTGCACTTGTGTGTAGGAGCTTATTTATTAATTAACTTGTTTTAGATTAAAATATTGATATTTTGGTTATTGTAGACAATAATTGTGCATATTATCAATTCATCCATTATAGTAAATCTTATTTCAATTCTTTATCATTGTTTACTTAAGTAATTGAAATGTAATCATTATTGATTTTCTTTTCATGTTTAAACCCATCAAATGTCTTTATAGAAAGAACTAAGCTGCTGGAGAAATTGTTTCTTAAGTTATGTATGTTTTTTATTTCAATTTATATTTTTATTTTGAATAAATAAATAGAAATTTTGTAATTTTTGTTCTTTTATTTAGCTCTGGGATAGGAAACCCAAAAATACCTCAAATAAAAAAAAACAAAAAAGACCACATTCAAATTTTCCCGCCACACGAGAAGTGCAGGAGGCAGACGATAGATGGCGCTAGTGGTTATATATAATTTCTTAAATTTTGTATGAAGTTGTCGTTCTTCTCCGATAGGAGTAATAGTGTTCTGTGCTCATGGGCCACTCATGGGCACAGCAATATTATGAACTCTCGTTAGAGAGTAGTATGTTCCTTGATTATGAAGGAACAATTTGGGACCGCCGGCAGAGACTCCTATTCAGGGTTGCCAGATCAGATTTTCAAAAATACTGTGTTGTCCAAATTAAATTACGGTGTTTGAGACGAAAATACAGTGTTTTATGAAAAAAAAATACAGTGTATTTTACAGTGTAATTAAATGACATTAAAAGGAAATAAATTTTTAATGAACCAAAATATGCATTTATTTTAAATATACTATACTCAAACTAACTAAATATCTTAGTATTTTAATACACCAAGTTTAATCACTGTCACTGTCGATTGCCTCCCATTTTTTGTAAATTTTAGCATCTTATCAGTTGGCAGAAAAACACAGTTGCCACCATGACAACAAATGGCCTGTGTTTTGCCAACATGTTGAATATTACCCTTAATTGTTTCTGTAATTAATTTATTTCTGTTCGTTAGAATTTGGAAGAGCTGAAATGTTCAGCATAAACTGGGCAACCAAACTGAACTCTTCAAACAGAAAATATTTAAGCGTAATATTTTAGAACTGAATACTAAGACGATATACCGGACAATTTAAATGACACATAAATAACATTTAAACAACACTATGGCGTATCCAACTTCATTTACCTGAATAATACTGTCTATGGTGCGGCTGA